CTTCCTCAAGGTGTACGACCTGCGCATGATGAGGGCCACCACCCCCCTGCAGGTCCACATCGACCCCTTCTTCCTCCGCTTCATCCCCACCTACACCTCCCGCCTGGCCATCATCTCCCAGACAGGTAGGTGAAGAGTGGGGGGATGTTCCCCCCGTGCCTCACGCCCGGGGGCAAATCCCAGTGGGATAGAGCTGCCCAAACATGGGCTAGAGCTGGCCACCGGTTCAAGCAGCCCCATGGCTCTGTGCTCGCCTCCCCCCAGGTCAGTGCCAGTTCTGTGAGCCCACCGGCCTCGCCAACCCCGCCGACATCTTCCATGTCAACACCGTTGGGCCTCTCATCATGACCTTCGACGTCTCGGCCAGCAAACAGGCGCTGGCTTTTGGGGACTCGGAGGGTTGCGTCCACCTCTGGGCTGACACCCCGGACGTCACCTTCAACACCTACTCCCGGGAGACCGACTTTGCCCTGCCCTGCATCGTGGACACGCTGCCCCACCTGGACTGGAACCAGGACCTCGTGCCCCTGTCGCTCATCCCGGTGCCGCTGACCACTGACACCCTGCTCTCCGACTGGCCCGTTGCCAACGCCGCCCCTGCTCCCCGGGAATTCTCCCTCCCCGGTAATTCTCAGCCCTTCCCAGCAGAATTCCAGTCCCTGGGAGCAGGGGAAGGGGCTCTGTTGCTCCCCCACGCCGTGAAAGGCATGTTGCCCATGGAGGAGCCCCTGAGCGTGGGGTGTGTTGCAGACGGGCCCCCCCGGTGGACCCCGAGATCCTGCGCACCATGAAGAAGGTGGGGTTCATCGGCTACGCCCCCAACCCCAGGACCAAGCTCCGCAACCAGGTACCTCGGGGGGGTCTGGGTGGGCCCGTGCTCAGGGAGGCTGGAGCAAGCCCTGGGTGCAGAGCTTGGAGGCAACAGCTTCTGTCGAGGGCAGGGCTGGAGTCTCCCCTTGGGCCAGAATCCTTCCTCTGTGGGTAGCTCAGGCCCTGCTCTGTGGGTAACTTACTCAATGGGTAACTCACTCCAATAGTAGCTCAGTTGTTGCTCTGTGGGTAACTTACTCAATGGGTAGCTCACACTATGGGTAACTCACACTATGGGTAACTCAGTCGCTGCTCTGTGGGTAACTCAGTCTATGGGTAACTCGCTCTATGGGTAACTGAGTCGCTGCTCTGTGGGTAGCTCTGGTAGTCACTGCTTTCTGTGTAACACTCTCTGGATAACTCACTCCTGCTCTCTGATAACTCCCTCTGTGGTCAGGGAGGGCTGAGCTCTCCGCTGCGGAGGTTCCTGGCCCGTCCCTGGCCCCGGGGAAGCACTGCTGAGCAGCCCCTGCCCGCAGCAGCGCTGTAGTTTCCCACAGTGACAAGTCCCTGGGAAGGAGGCCTCGAGCAGGTCGAGGGAGGGCCCCGCTCCTTTCTGCTTATTCCTCTGCTCATTCCAGGAGGCAGGAAAGCCCACACTATGCTTCCCTCCACCTCGGGCTTCAGCCTCTCCTCCCTGCTCTCCCCCTCCCAGATTCCCTATCGCTTGAAAGAGGCAGACAATGAGTTTGACAGCTTCAACCAAGTCCCCGAGTCCCCCATTGGGCGGGAAGAGGAGCCACATCTCTACATGGTGGCCAAGAAGTACAGGAAGGTTGTGGCTGGGGCAGGGAAGGGGCTGGAGGGGAGGCCCCGGGCTGGGCTAGGGCGAGGGACCCGCCGTGTCCCCATGGGAAGGGCCGTGTACCCATGGAAAGCATCCAGGCGTTGCCCCGTGGTGTGGGAAGGTGCCTGTTGACCACGTTGGGTCTCTCCTTAGGTCACTATCAAATACTCCAAGCTGGGGCTGGAAGACTTTGACTTCAAGCATTACAACAAGACGCTGTTTGCGGGCCTGGAGCCCCACATCCCCAACGCCTACTGCAACTGCATGATCCAGGTGGGACATGCCCCAGCCCTGCCTGGCCCATGCTGGCTCCGGGACCCGCTTTGACTGTTCCCTCCCTGCCAGGTGCTGTATTTCCTGGAGCCGGTGCGGTGCCTGGTCCAGAACCACCTCTGCCAGAAGGAATTCTGCCTGGGCTGTGAGCTGGGCTTGCTCTTCCACATGCTGGACCTGTCCCGAGGAGACCCCTGCCAGGTCCGTGGGGAGGCTCAGCTCCATCACAGATGACCAGGAGCAGGGTGGGGGCGCCAGCGTGGAAACTCCTGGCACTTGAGCTCGTGACGAGCTGCTCTTGCTCCATCCCCAGGGAAGCAACTTCCTGCGGGCTTTCCGCACCATCCCAGAGGCTTCAGCGCTGGGGCTCATCCTGGCTGACTCGGATGAAGCCACGGGGAAGGTGAACCTGGGGCGGCTGATTCAGAGCTGGGACCGCTTCATCCTCACTCAGCTGCACCAGGAAACCCAGGAGCAGGAGGGACCACAGGCCTATCGCGGGGCTGGCACCACGTAAGTCCCCGGGGCGGGACAGGGAGTAACCAAACCAGGCTCCCGAAGGCTCCATCCGTGGCTCAGGAAGGAGCTTTCCTGCCCTGAGGGAGCACATGGAGCTGCAGTCGCCTCCCCACCTCCTGACCCCCTACTTGCAGAGGGCGCCGGGGAAGCCCTTGTGCAGCCCGAGATGCGTGTCCCCAGTGCCCTGCTCCGCTGGGGTCCTGCTGATCCTGGTGCCCTGTTTCTCCAGCACCTTTGGCTCCTCAGGGGGCTCGGTCATTGGGCAGCTCTTCAGCTGCGAGATGGAGAACTGCAGCATGTGTCGCTGTGGCAAGGAAACGGTCCGGGTGTCCTCCACGCTGCTCTTCACCCTCTCCTACCCCGAGAGCACGGGTAACACACAGGGGAGGGGGGTGATGCTGCCCCGGGGCTGGGGCTGTTATCCCTACGGATGAGCTCTGGGTGGTGAGGACGAGCTTGTGCCACGGCCTGGCCTGCGGCAGGGCCGGCAGCTGAGGTTTGGTGGTGGGTTTCCAGCCAGGCAAGCTTTTGGTTACAGAAAAGCAGATTTGGGGCTTGACCTTCTGGCTGGTGGTTGGGAGGAAAACCCCCGAGGTTTGCCTGAGGAAGGGTTTGTGTGCTGGGAGCTGACGTGCTGCTTCTCTCCCTTCAGAAAAGCCAGTCAAAGACTATGAGTTTGCCCAGATCCTGAAGCGAAGCATCTGCTTGGAGCAGAACACACAAGCCTGGTGTGAGAACTGTGAGAAGTACCAGCCCACGGTGAGCACGCTGCACCCCCCGGGCCGGGGGACGAGGCTGGGAGCACCCCATGGCTTTCTGTTAGTCAGTGGGGAACGTCCTGGGCGGGTGCTGGAGATGCAGGTCCCGGGTCATTTGGGGTGTTTCCTGGGATGCACCTGCAGCTCCCGGAGGGAAGGAACCCTGCTCCCGGCCCCTTGCAGCACCTCCAGAACACAGCCAGGCAGGGGGGAGGCTCTGGAGGAGGAGGGTGCCGCTCGGGCCCAGCCCGAGGCTGAGCTGCTCCATGGCTTTGGGTGCTTCCTCCTCCATGTCCTGCTCTCCCTGCAGGTCCAGACGCGGAACATCCGCTGCCTTCCCGACGTCCTGGTCATCAACTGTGAGGTGAACAGCTCCAAGGAGGCCGATTTCTGGAGAACACAGGCTGAGGTGGGGGCTTGTTCTCCTCCCTGCGCCGGGGGGGCTGTGTGGCCAGGCCTGCCCGGGTGTTCCTGCTCGCAGCTCTCTCGCTGCACCCGAGCATCGCCCAGCTTGGGCCCCCAGTGGGATGTGGTTGTGTTTGACTTGGAAGAGACGAGACCTGCCATGGCCGAGCTGCTGGGGCTGAGGCTCTTCCCTGCCCCAGTGCCCCAGGAGCCCAGCAGACACTTGGCTTTCCCCTCGCTGCCTTCTCCCTGTCACCAGCTTCCAAGTGCCCGTCCTTGCCCGCTGCTGTCACCCGTGTCCCAGCAGCTCCGTGCTGACGCCTGCCTGTGTTTCGTTGCCAGTGTGCCTTTCAGAGGGCCATGATGAGGAGGGGCGGCTTCGACATCACCAAAGGCAAAGACATCTCTCTTGGAGAGTGGTAGGTGCCCGGACTGTGACCCTGGCTGGGGGCTCTGCGCAGCATTCCCATGGGATACCCTTGTGATCCACCCACTTCTGAGCCCTCATTTCCCTCCCCTTACCCTACTGACCCAGGACCATGTGTTGGCCTTTCCCAGCTCCTGCTCCATGGGGAAGCAGCGCAGCTCTGGCTTCCCTGTCCTGTGGAAGGTTTGGGAATAGGCTGGGTGGGATCCTGGGTGGCTTCCCATGACTCCTCCAGCTCGGTTTTCCATGATTCCCTGTGCAGGAAGGAGCTGGGGAACCCCGAGACGGGGCATTCCTATCCTTCCGTGGAGGAACTTAAGAACATTTGGATCCCTCACGCCATCAAGATGAGGCTGACCAAGAGCAAGGAGCTGGACGTCTGCAACTGGAGCGAGAACGACGAGGTGAAGGCTGAGGAGCAATCCGGGGCCTTGGTGGTCACCGGCATGTGGGGCTGTGGGAGCAGCACTGCTCCTGCTGCGTGTGTGGGGCAGAACTCGGAGGCCTCGGGTGGGCACGGTGCTGACATGGCACATGGTGTGGGCCTGGCTGGGGTCTGGGGCTGCCTCGTGTTGGCACCGACCGTGGGGCTGGCTCCTCCTGCAGCTGAGCCCCACCGAGGACCCTGAGTCGGTCTATGTCTATGATCTGATGGCCACCGTCGTCCACATCCTGGACTCCCGCACCGGGGGCAGCCTCGTGGGACACATCAAAGTGGGAGAGACCTATCACCAGAGAAAGGAGGTGAGGAGCCCTGTGGGGTGGTGCCACTGCGGGTCCTGCTTCCCTGTCGCCGGGATTGCGCCGGGATGGGTTCTGGACCCGTTCCTGGGTGTCGCAGTCAGTGTGGAACCCAACTGGTGCTGAGGCACCTCCGGGGAGGGAAGGGCTGAAGGAACACGCTTCCCACTCTTCCTCAAGCTGGTTCCTCCTGCTCGCAGGCACGGTGCCAGCTTGTCCTTGCACTTCCAGGTAGGGGCTGGGACGTCATCTCCCTTCCTGAGGAAAGGGCTGGTCTGGGCAGTCCTGGTGTGCGGTGGAGATGCCGAGCCAGGAATTCCCAGTGTGTGTCAAGGCTGCATCCCTGCCTCTTATCTGTTGCATCTTGGTGGAGCTCTGGCTTGGAGTCAGGCAGAGGCTGTGCCTGTCCAGCCCCAGGGCTTCATGTGCGCTGTCACCACCCAGGCCAGCAGGGATTTCCCCACAGTGTCCCAGGAAGGGCGGGAATTCCCACATGGCATCGTCACCCCCCCCTTTCCCTGGTAACGGGAGAGGAGTCATTGCCTTTGCCTGGGGGGGCCCCCTAAGGCAGTGCCTCTGCTCTGCCCCCAGGGAGTCACACACCAGCAGTGGTACCTCTTCAACGA